ACAAGAGGTAACACTTTAATTATCTGATGAATGAGGGTTGAAAAGAAAATATTTTCTCCACGAGGTTATTTTACGCGAGTGTTGTGTCTACATACATAGTGGAAAATAGTACGTAATCCTCATATGTTTTGCGACGCTATATATATAGGTGAGTTCTACCATAAACCAGACCTAGTAGTTTGGTACGCTGTATGAATACCTGCTGCTTTATTTATGGCTTTTTTGGAGGGGGGGAGTAAAGTTTCCTTTTGAGACGGAATGACGCGACGCGCGTATAGTAGAAAATATACAAAACATGGGTGAATATGAAACTTGATATCGATTTTCTGACATTCTATACGAAAATTGTCCACTTGTTCACGTCCCGTCCTTTTTGTTGGTAAATTTTTTGCTCTCTCTCTCTCTCTCTCTCTCTCTCTTGACCACACACTATGACCATTATGCATTTTCACTGTGTTATATATGTACGCATATTCATCTTTCATGGTCGCGATAACAATTCCTCTTGAAGCTTTCTATACACCACAATATACGTTAAATTAGATTTGGTTTATGACAATAATACACACTATCATTGTCATACGATTTGAATCATTATTGTATAAAATGTGAGAATTTCTCTCGGAAAGTAATGTTCATTATTACATTGAAAAAAAAATTTATTTGATTCAAATACTCTATATTACTTGACTCAAATAAAAATTATTTTGGTTCAAGTAAATATTTATTTGATAATAGTCAAATAATCGAGATAAGTTTCACTGGAACTGCGATATATTTTACTAAAACAGCGACAATTTTCGCTATTCTATGAGAAACATATCGCTGTTTCTATAAGTAAAGATTTTGTTCCATATGTGGTGAAATTAATTTTATTTGTTTGTTAAAAACAAGAAGACGCACAAATTCAAATAAAACAAAAATAAATTTTGTTTAATTAAAAATCGTTGGTGCTTTAATTAAATGAGTGGCCGTCATTTGGCAATTAAAATAAATGGATTTTACATTAAATTGGAAAGTTGAAAGAAGTGTTTCAAATAGAAATCCCTGCATAAAACCTTTTTGGATCACTTTGAGACCACAGGGCAGAAATTGTGAGCGTCACTCGATTCAACAACTTTTCTACTTAGACCCTCCGGCACGAGAGAGTCGATAAAGGCGAAAAACAGTAATTTCCCTTTATCGCAAATAAGGATCAAGGGCAAAAAGAATTATTTTTAAAGACTCGTCTATTTGTCGAGGATCTTGTTGAAAACAACGTTACACTTACATTTTATTTTTAACCCAAATAAATTATTTTTTCATTTTTTAAAAAACACGAGAATAAATTATTCACAATTTTTAAATAATAATTGTCAATTAAATTATCAAATTAATTTAATATTATGATATTAACAATAATTGTGTAATTTTAATTATTCAAATATGTATCTGTAAGACTTAATTAATTTCATTAATTGAAAAATTAAATTTCAATTGATCGCAAATTTATGAGAGAAATTTAATAACAAATTAGTTAATTGTTAATTAGATAATAAATAATTGAATATTTTTTGTTTATTTTGTTTTTAATTTTTTATTAATTTAATGTTTTTTTTTTAAATTTTTAATGTGTTTTTTAATTGTTTCGGTAATTTGGTAACACTGTGTGTATGTACAATTTAATATAGTAGGGAAGATATAATTCCGTTATTATTTGGATTCCTTTGATCAGTTCAACTTCACCTATATATGAGGTCTGCATTCTCAAAGTGCACTTTATTCCTAAATAATAGAGAAGCAGTTGAAATGCAAATGGGATAATAACCACTTTTGCGGATGTACAAAACCATACCTTTCCAAACAGATTACCAAAACAACCACCCTAACGAAGTAAAAGTTGTAGTTAGATACATATATATATATATATATATATATATATATATTCACAGGGTGAAACTCTCAAAATATCTACCTATTCACTTGAGAATGAATATTACTGCAAAATGGATATTTCTGATAACTCGCAAGGAAATTTAACAAAATTTAATATATAATGTAATATTAATTTTTATTTATGCGCTTTCGATTAGAAAAAAATCTATTTGATTAAAATTGAAAAAAAAATATTTTCTGCAAAAATTGAACAGGAAACTTTTTGAATGGACCAACAGCATCCGAGTTACAATGGACCAAAATTCGATAAAACATTTCGAAAATTAACATTTTCGACATAAACTCTTGGGAATACCACAGAAGGTAACAAAAAATGATGAAATACATACCTAAATTGTATACGAAACTTCTTGAATGGACCCATAGCATCCGAGCCTCAATGGACCAAAAATTTCAAAATTAAAAATTTCCGAGATAAAATCTCGGGAATATCGCAGAAGGTAACCAAAAATGTTGTTCTACGAAAATTGTATAGGAAACTTTTTGAATGGACCAACAGCATCCGAGCCTCAATGGACCAAAAATTTCAAAATTATAAATTTCCGAGATAAAATCTCGGGAATATCACAGAAAATAACCAAAGATGTCGTTGTACGAAAAATGTACAGGAAACTTTTGGTATGGACCAACAGCATCCGAGTTACAATGGACCAAAATTGGACAAAAAATTCCGAAAATTAAAATTTTCGACATAAACTCTTGGGAATACCACAGAATGTAACAAAAAATGGTGAAATACATACCTAAATTGTATACGTAACTTCTTGAATGGACCCACAGCATCCGAGCCTCAATGGACCAAAAATTTCAAAATTATAAATTTCCGAGATAAAATCTCGGTTATAGCACAGAAAATAACCAAAGATGTCGTTGTACGAAAATTGTACAGGAACCTTTTGGAATGGACCAACAGCATCCGAGGTACAATGGACCAAAATTGGACAAAAAATTCCGAAAATTAAAATTTTCGACATAAAATCTCAGGAATTTTACAGAAGGTAACCAAAAATGGTGAAGTAAAAAATCGTATCCGGAACTTTTTGAATGGACCCACAGCATCCGAGCCTCAATGGACCAAAAATTTCAAAATTATAAATTTCCGAGATAAAATCTCGGTTTTATCACAGAAAATAACCAAAGATGTCGTTGTACGAAAATTGTACAGGAAACTTTTGGAATGGGCCAACAGCATCCGAGGTACAATGGACCAAAATTGGACAAAAAATTCCGAAAATTAAAATTTTCGACATAAAATCTCAGGAATTTTACAGAAGGTAACCAAAAATGGTGAAGTAAAAAATCGTATCCGGAACTTTTTGAATGGACCCACAGCATCCGAGCCTCAATGGACCAAAAATTTCAAAATTATAAATTTCCGAGATAAAATCTCGGTTATATCACAGAAAATAACCAAAGATGTCGTTGTACGAAAATTGTACAGGAAACTTTTGGAATGGGCCAACAGCATCCGAGGTACAATGGACCAAAATTGGACAAAAAATTCCGAAAATTAAAATTTTCGACATAAAATCTCAGGAATTTTACAGAAGGTATCCAAAAATGGTGAAGTAAAAAATCGTATCCGGAACTTTTTGAATGGACCCACAGCATCCGAGCCTCAATGGACCAAAAATTTTAAAATTATTTTGCAAAAAAAAACGTTTGGGAATACCACAGAAGGTAATCAAAAATGATGATATAAAAAATCGTATCCGAAACTTTTTGAATGGACCAACAGCATCCGAGCTACAATGGACCAAAATTTGAAAAAAAAATTTTTTAAATTTAAATTTTCGAGATAAATTTATTTCTTTAGATATTTTTTTTGCAAAAATGCAGTGTTGTACTTTTCTTCACATTCCTCTCGTATCAGTGGAAAAGGCGTCCCACGGTCAGGCATGGTGAAATACTGTCTGACTACTTACAGACAGCTTCCACTGCCGTTACTTACTATTCAGTAGTAAAACCAATGTCACGGCAGACAATTTATGTATATTGCAGTTACAATTGTCTGACCACAAATGGATTTTGCTACCTAATTTCGTAACATGATGAACCTTATAATTAATAATTTTCAAACATTAATTAAAAATATAAATTTATTATTGATTTATCGTTTTTTTTTCATTTTATAACTAAAAAAACCGGTTTATTTATTATATTATTTTATTTATTTGTTATACATATTTATTTATTTATTTTTTTAATGCATATTAATTTTATTACAATAAAAACTTTCGTTCTATCAAGTAAATATTTTTCCAAGTGCTTTGCCTTTTTCTTATACCTTTTTGTATATATTTTGAAAAAGTATTCAATTAACCAGAAAGTGTGAAAAAGTATTTCCGTTCAAGTTACATTGGAAGATTAATTAAAACGTATAAAACAAATAGTAATTAAAGTTTTCCGGATCTCTCTGCTTCTTGAGAGAAATAATGTTATAACATTTATTTTGCGCGAGAAAAACAATTTCAAAAACTTTTTCCTTTTTTTTTTCTTTTATTCTGTCTTCATTTCTTAACGTGAATATTCGCGAACACGAAATATATATATATAGCTGAGGTAACGATGCACAAATTATATTCTTTCCACAAATGCGGTTACCTTTAATTTTGCGCTGTATATATATTTATGTAACAGCAAAGAAGAAGAAGAAAACACTCTCGCTACCTGTGTGTATACACCTTTAATATTAATAAAAAGCCGCGGCCAACGGACCTCGAAGAGGTCGTCGCGTATAAAAAAAACCCCACAAAACAACAACAACAAAAAAATCGTGGAAAAGTGAGAAGGAGGATTAAAATTGCGCGCAGTTTGTAATTTGTGCGCTGAGGGGTTGAGGGTTAAAGATGTCGTGAAAAACTTTCTAGACCAGGAGAGAAAGAGAGAGAGAGAGAGAGAGAGAGAGAGAGAAAGAGAAAAGACTCACACAGTCATGAATACACATATATATTGTGAAGTTGTGTGGAAGGCGAGAGATTAAAATGCAAATCTAAATTTTACTCCGAAATAAGTCTGAAATATGATTATCGTAAATGCGATAAGCGCATGGCTCGTTTACTTACAGAGTTTGCAGGTTCACGATTCTGTAGTGGGCAAGGAATGTGTGTCGGTAGAGCTGTAACAGACAAGAAAAAAAACGAACGTCTTTTTATATCATTTTCAAAGAGAAAGAGAGATCAATTTTTATTTTCACCTTTTTTTTTTGACACAAATTTTTATAAATTATAATTATATTAAAATTTTTTGTATTGGAAATAATTTTTATTTATAGAAATAAAAATTATTTTTTTATTTCTAATCAAAATAGTTTCGAAAAATTATTTAAAAAAATTTTTTTTTTTTTTTTGAACACAGTTTTATTAATAAAAATTTGTTTCAAAATTAAAAATTATTAAACTAAATACAACTATCAATCGCTTAAATAAAAAAATATTTTCGTTACACTATTATTATTATAAAAATTAATTATTAAAATTATTAGAATTATTACATAGAAAAAAAAAATTATTTGATTGAAATACTCGATTACTTGACTATTATCAAATAAATATTTACATGAACCAAATAATTGTTATTTGAATTAAATAAATTGTATTTAAACCAATAATTTCTGTATTTGTAATAAATACCATTTAATTGACTCAACTAATAATTATTTGATACAAATAAATATTTATTTGATAATTGTCAAATAATCGAGTATTTGAATCAAATAAAATTTTTTTTCAGTGTAGAATTCTAATATTATTATTATTATTATAATTAATTATTAGAATTGTCAGAATTATTAACATTCTAGTAATTATACATAATTGCTAGAAAAAAAATTAGATTATATATGCATTTCGAGGGTAAAATGATAATAAAAATAATTTGAAAACAATAAGAGATTCGATAAAACCACTTTATTTGTTTATTTAATGAAAATTGAATGCAGTGAAATCCGCTTATCTACTTGAAAATGAACAATGATTGATTTCGTATTGAATTTGGAATTTAATAGAGGATTATATATATATATATATATTTTTTTTAAAATAAAATTTAATGAATCAAGACATAAAAGCAGTTGAAATGCGCTTTGCATTATTCAGTGAAAGAAGCCAAGCATAGTGAGTAAATTAATTTTTTACTTTTTTATGAAAACAAAAATGTTTTCCATAATTAAATATACGAAAATTAAAAATGCATTCTGGGCACCTTTATTAGTATAATTTATTTATTTATAATTATTTATTTATAAATAAATAAAAATAAAATTTTTTAATTACATAAAAGAATTAAATTCAATATCAATTTTAATATTTAATGTTTAATATGAAAATATTTAATTAATTAATTTTCCTTAAATAAATAATAGTAATAATAATTAGAACAAGCATAGTGATCGTCGAAAATGAAAGTTTATATTCACTTAAGCCAATAATCGCACCATTTTTTTTATTTAATCTTTTTCTAAAATCTGCTTGTCTGACCAAAATCCTCTTTTACTACTTACAAACAACAAAAATCGTCAGTTTCAATGGAAAGAAACCCTTTTATTTCCTAAAAGCTTTCTCTACTTTTTTCCCCTTTTCTCTCAATTTTTTGTCTTCTATTTTTTTTTATGTTTTCTATTTTTTTCCGAATTTACAGTTTATTTATTTTTTTATTACATTTACTTTAAAGAAGCAGAAATTAATTTTTTTTTTTAAATCTATTAAATGTACATTTATAAGAATGTATATTTTTATTATAAATAAAAATCCATACCGCAATTTGATAAAAATTGATTGGTGCCGCTTTTTTTTTTTAAGACAGCAATTAAAAACTCGTTTTCTTTTTCATTAGAAAAGCATTTTTCTTTCTCATAGGGGGAGAAAAATTATATATATGAATATTCAAGTTTTTCACAGTTCAATGAGAATTTAATCGATATTTTTCATTAATTTTTGAAATGAAAAACAAAAAAAAAAAAGGAGCGACGAATAAAAAAAAAACAATTGCGGGTAAAGAGAGAGAGAGAGAAAGTGTGTGTGTATCCTGCAATTATTTTTCTATTGTTCTTTAGGACCAAGGGACAAAATGCATTTTCATTTTCCACAGTGGCCAATTAATGGTCCTTTCCTTTCTCGTCCAATAAATTATAACTACACGCGAACCGAGATATCGCTTAGTATCAAACCTCATCAATAATGTTTGCCGATATGCGGCGAAGGATTCATGGTGGTGCTCCACGGCTATTTTGCCTCCATTAACTCTTTCAACATAGTACCATAAATCACGTTATTCTGATAGGATCAGAATAACGCCATTTTCACATGTGTGTGTGTGAGTGTGTTGGTCCAGATTAATAATTTCCTTTTCTTTACTCGAAATTCTGTTATATATTTTTCCAAGAGGAAAATATTTTCCTTTTTTTTTTCATGGAAAACATTTTTTTTTGTTAATTATTTTTTTTTCTAGAAATTGTCAAAGAATTTGTGTTTGAAATTTAAAGTCATTTGGATCGTGACGAGAAATTGCGTCAATGATTCGACATAGAGGAAATTGGAGGGATTCGAAAATTACGTGAAGTTAATGGTAGATAGGAGTTAATATCGTTTTACAGATGACATAACCACTCGCGTAACTGATTTCTCGGTAACTCGAATTTCCCAAAAGCTATATTTTCGATTCTCACGAGCAAATCACTCTTCGTATCTGTTAACTCACTCTCTCTCTCTCTCTCTCTTTCATCGGGTCCAATTCTCTAAACTATATAACGTATCAAATTATTTTCCTACGCTTTTTTTTGCACTTGGTTTTTTTTTTTATTACGAATACAAATTCGAATAAAAAATTAATATTAATTTAGTAAATATTAATATTAATTTGATATTAAATTAAAAAAATTAATTTTCAATAAAAAATAGTAAAACAAAATATATATTTTTTACTTTTAATTATAAACAATAAACCGAAGATTTGCCTCTCGGATAGAGTCATAAGAAGAAAAACAATTAGAATTTTTCATCTGATTAAAACTTGGCTTAATGGGATTGTTCTGTTTCTTAATCAGCTCCTGGTACAATTAACGTTTGTGGGTAAAAACCACAGTTACTTAAGTTTTCAAAGTATTTCGAATTCCGTGCGCGCTTTCGAGGGAATCGCAGAGAAAAGAGAGAGAGAAGCATTGAATGTAATTCTAAACGACAAATTAATTTCGACTTGGAAAATGCAAAGTCAAATTGTCGTGCGTTGAGTGTGTATAAAGAATTTCGCAAACATTTTTGCGGTCAAACCGCATTCTCTTTTGAATTTTGTATTTAGCGTTACGGATTTCAGTCTTTTTGCCTGAATTTTGACTCAGCTAACAATTTAAATTAATTTGTAACTCGTATATTGGATGGGATTATATATTATATAGAGTCCCTCTGGCAATGTTACCGTGAAACTCGAAAATATATGTAAATGGACCTTATTCCAATCGCAACGTCTAGCGGCGCGCAAACCTTATTTTACACACAAAGAGAGAGAGAGAGAGAAAAAAAAATTTACATCCGGCCAGACGGTGCCAATTTTACATAAACGCAATGGATGAATTTTTTAGTTTCTATACAGAATCCTAATATTTTATTATAGAAATCTCTTCCTTTCAATTTTTCTGCAATGATTGATTTTATTTCAATTAGGTATTAAATAAATTTTTAATTAATTAATATTAAATAGGCGCCAAAAAAATATTCTATTAATATAATACACTGAGAAAAAAAAAATTTAGTGATTGCAACAAAATTGTTTGATTAGACAATTTTGGTTCTTGTAACCAAATTTTGGTTGGCTGAAACAAAGTCATAGAGTTATCTCAACCAAACATTTGATTAATCCAACAAAATTATTTGGTTGAAAATTTTTAATACAACAAAATAGTTTGGTCTAAAAAACCAAATGATCGTTTGTTGTCCTAACCAAAATTTATCCTAACCAAAAAATAAATAAATAATGAAATAAATAAAAGAGATAAGGTAGAATAAAATTTTTAATTTAAAAAAAAAACTGTTTGTTTGATCAACCAAATATTTTTGTTGACCTAACAAAAAAAAATTTGGTTGAGCTAACCAAACATTTTTGTTATGCCAACAAAAAACACTCAACCAAATTTTTTGGTTGACTCAAACAAATAGTTTGATTACTTAAATACCAACAAAATTTTTTTGTTGGCCCAACCAAATTTTGGTTGCTCTGACTAAACATTTTTCTCAGTGTAATATTTTCATTTTTTAACTGTCAATTAAATATATTTTTTTTATGTCTGCATTACCGTATATAAATGTGTCCTTAATGAAAAGATAAATAAAAAAAAAAAGATTTATTAGTAAAAAGTAAAGTTTTTTTTAAATAAAAAAAAATTGTAAAAATTTTTATTTTCAGACATGATAAGATTTCCTTGTGAAATATATATTCAAAGCGCGTATGAATGGCACGTTCGGAAAAAAGTATATATATGTATATATAATTTTAGTCTATAGGGTTGAAGAAGGCATATCTGGATACCTTTTCGGTTCATTGGTTTCCGTTTACAGGAAAATCCGTGATGAAAAAGGAAAAGGAGGATGCGAGAGAGAGAGAGAGAGAATCAGATCTAAGAAGTGCTAAAGGGGAAAATGTTCAGAAAACCGGACGTTTAATGCTCAGAAAGAGAGAGAGAGAAAGATCATCCCTTCTAATGGGAAGTCAATGGTAAAGTTTGAGATAAAAGCTCGACGCAAGAAACTCAGGGCTTTTGGTTTTATCTTAGCTTTCTGATAGACATTTCGTTCATTGGCCAGAGGAAGTCAAGAAATGAACTTCGAAACTTATATATATATATATATATTTGAGAAACAGGATGGAAAATTCGTTCATTGTGGTTAAAATTGTGCATTAGAGTCTTTTTTTTTGTTTTATTTCTTTAATAATATTACAAAAAAAAACATCAAACAAACTTTTATCCCTGGACAAGTAAGCTCTTTTAGTTGTTTTCTTATTAAAAGAGAAAAAAAAAAGTTTTCTCGCTGTTAAAATTTCAATATCGAACTAATTTTTTCATGGCTGAACTATAAAGAATCTTTTTGAGGGAATTAAAACTTTATAAATAGGAAGATAACGTGGAAAATTATTTTTTAATTATAAAAACTAAATTAATTCAAGGTAATTATAAATAGAATCGTGACTTTTTGATAAAAGAAAATATGAATAACAAAAAAAAGAGTAAAAAATATTTATGAAAAATTTATTTAAAATAATTAGTAATAAGTATTTTAAATTGTTAGTAAAAAGAAAAATTACTGTAAATAATTAAAAACTATTATTTTAAATAGTTCTATGTGTTTTCGATGAAAAAGTTTATTTTTGAAAAAAAGCCTTTTTAAAGTTCAAAAAAAAAAACTATCAGTTTATATTATTGTTGACACTCCATTTAGATTTTCGTGAAATTTAGTGAAATGTCAACAGCAGATATTGTTTTTTTTTTTTTTTGTTTTTCTTCTAACTTCGATACATACCAAAAATGTTTTTCACTTTGTTGTAAAAATACAATTTTAGTTCTCGATTCTCTTATATATATATATAATGCGACTTTTTCAATTTGAAGAGCAGAAGCTTTCTCTCTGAGAAATAATGCCAAATTGATATATGAAATAAGTTGTACAAGACAATTTCATGATTGGTTTGTCAATTTAAAAAAAAAAATTATATTTATTTCAAATAAACAGAATTGCTTTATACAACTTAAAGAATAAATTAGATTAAATGAGGAATAAAATAAATTCATAAAAAAAATATATAAATTAGTAATATTATTTTTGTAAATATTAACAAATTTTTTATTTTGAAAGAAAATTTATTTAAAAATACAATAATTGAAAATAAAATTTAAAATAAGAATTATTAATTTTCAATAAATCGATTTCAATACATAGTTTTTTTTCTATATTATGTTAATAAATAAAATAAAAAAATCATCTCTCTTAATATTGCTTTCGCAAAGAATGGGGGGGAAGAAGTTACTTTAAATTAATGAGCTCTACCTGTGTGCAGTGCACTTGTTTCGTTAATGGAATACCTGTCACTAGTTTTTCCTCTTTCATCAGCAATTAATTATTAATAATGTAGCACAAAGAGTTAGAAATTGTGTCTCGTCACAATTGTGCTATCTCTAAAGTATTGAATATCTTGGGAAAAAAAAATTCTTCATGATGTCTACTAGTTAGACTACTACTACTAATTTTAGACGAAAATCAAGAACAGGTAAGGATAAAATATTTCATCATTTAAAAATTATGAAATTCGTTTATTTAATTAACTTTAAATGTTTTTTATTTTAGTTGGAGGATCAAGGGATGCAATAGTAAAAAAAAAATCATTGGAAAATTGTGGGGCTTTTGTTCATCAATATTTGTCAGGAAAAGGTTAAAGTCACACCAATACGTCTACATGGTGGAGCTGTTTCAACTTGGTCATCATCCACGAATCATATTACGGCCCCTCGTCGTTTCAATTCTGCCGCCTATTCAACAGATATCACCACCAATCAGGGCCCGGCGTGGCGATCAGGCAGGTAAGAAAATTTTTTTTTTCGCTATTTAATAGCATTGTGTAAAAAAAAGTATTTTTAACTTCTTCCCAATACTTTCAATTTCTCGTTTCTGTAAAAAATAATTTACAAATAAGAAAAAAAAACTTTAAATAATTATTTATTGATGCTTTTTATTCATTATTTATCATAAAATTTATTTTTTATCCCACTTATTGATAAAAGTATTTTTTTTTTTGAATTTATTTATGTAAATTGTTAATTAAAAAAATTTAACATTTTTTGTTACATGAACAATCACACTGCGGTGGCGATTTTTCACAAAAAAATTGTGAATGATGCAGTTCAACATGGACACCACCAGTTACAAAAATGAAACAAAAAATCAAAAAATGATTTGCCGAAGGTGAGATGGTTACAAACCAAATTCATTTACTAAACAATTAATATAATGACTACAGAAAAACGAATTAATAAATTTTGGAAATGTTTTCTTTTCAGATAATGGACGAGGATGACGACTGCCACCACTACTACTACTACTAATCAACAACAACATCAACATCGGAATATTTGATAATGACAATTGTTACTCTTAGCTGACAGTATAGAAAACATTCGCAGGCGCTTCTCACGAGGAGCCCTTGTTATACGATGTGCTTTTTTGCATAACTATAACATAACTGAGTCAACGTTTTGACTAAGAACTGATTTAGTGGAAATTAATACTACTGTTATTCCTCGAGAAAACTATTATTGTCTAGTCAAATATTCCATCTCTTTTTTTGATAAAAAACGGAATTTGGACTTGATCTAAATTCCTGTTTAGGAGAACTCCTAGAGTGTGCACGTTGCATCAAATTCCAAGTTGGATCCTCTGCCAAGACGTTTTGACACCACTTTTTAAATTTTAGTGAAAAACTAAATATTCAATTAAAAATGATAAAACTACAGTTTCAAAATGTTAAGTTAAAATCAGTAAGATTGTTTTAAATCTGTAATAAAAACCTTAAAAGGATAAAATTAAAAGCTTTAACATTAAAATAAATTAATAATAATGAACAGAACGCTTTTTATTTTTTAAATCCTATTTCTTTAATTATTTACATTGCTTAGTTTCTAATATTTTAAATAAAAGCATGCTCAATAAACGGGAATAGAAATTACTGCTCACGCTGACCACTTAATTAGTTAATTAATAAAAAAATAAAACAAAAGAGTATTTAAAAATTAAAAAAGATGTTAACATGGGGTTTTTTTATTATTCTTAAATTGCTTAAGATAAGATTATGCATTTTTATAACATTTGGAATTTTAAAACGGACATGAATTGAATTTAGAGACTACCCCGACATCTTCTCCTAATACTTGAAATTAAATATTTCCTTTAAATTTCATTGAAAATGAATCAAAACATTTCAATATTTGAAATAGGCGCATGCGCAGTCATTATAAATTCAATTTCGAGAACACTCCGCCATCTTTATGTACTCCTAATACTTGAAATTAAATATTTCCTTTAAATTTCATTGAAAATGAATCAAAACATTTAAATATTTGAAATAGGCGCATGCGCAGTCATTTTAAATTAAATTTAGAGGACACTCCGCCATCTTTATGTTCTCTTGATACTTGAAATTAAATATTTCCTTTAAATTTTATTGAAAATGAATCAAAACATTTAAATATTTGAAATAGGCGCGTGCGCAGTCATTTTAAATTAAATTTAGAGGACACTCCGCCATCTTTATGTTCTCCTGATACTTGAAATTAAAAATTTCCTTTGAATTCGATTGGAAAAGAATCAAAACAATGAATATTTGAAATAGGCGCATGCGCAGTCATTATAAATTCAATTTCGAGGACACTCCGCCATCTTTATGTTCTCCTGATACTTAAAATTAAATATTTCTTTTAAATTTTATTGAAAATGAATCAAAACATTTAAATATTTGAAATAGGCGCATGCGCAGTCATTTGAAATTAAATTTAGAGGACACTCCGCCATCTTTATGTTCTCCTGATACTTGAAATTAAAAATTTCCTTTAAATTCGATTGGAAAACAATCAAAACAATGAATATTTGAAATAGGCGCATGCGCAGTCATTATAAATTCAATTTCGAGGACACTCCGCCATCTTTATGTTCTCCTGATACTTAAAATTAAATATTTCTTTTAAATTTTATTGAAAATGAATCAAAACATTTAAATATTTGAAATAGACGCATGCGCAGTCATTATAAATTCAATTTCGAGGACACTCCGCCATCTTTATGTTCTCCTGATACTTAAAATTAAATATTTCTTTTAAATTTTATTGAAAATGAATCAAAACATTTAAATATTTGAAATAGGCGCATGCGCAGTCATTTTAAATTAAATTTAGAGGACACTCCGCCATCTTTATGTTCTCCTGATACTTGAAAATAAAAATTTCCTTTAAATTCCATTGGAAAAGAATCAAAACATTTAAATATTTGAAATAGGCGCATGCGCAGTCATTATAAATTCAATTTCGAGAACACTCCGCCATCTTTATGTTCTCCTAATACTTGAAATTAAATATTTCCTTTAAATTTCATTGAAAATGAATCAAAACATTTAAATATTTGAAATAGGCGCATGCGCAGTCATTTTTAATTAAATTTAGAGGACACTCCACCATCTTTATGTTCTCCTGATACTTGAAATTAAAAATTTCCTTTAAATTCGATTGGAAAACAATCAAAACAATGAATATTTGAAATAGGCGCATGCGCAGTCATTATAAATTCAATTTCGAGGACACTCCGCCATCTTTATGTTCTCCTGATACTTGAATTTAAAAATTTCCTTTAAATTCCATGGGAAATGAATCAAAACATTTAAATATTTGAAATAGGCGCATGCGCAGTCATTTTAAATTGAATTTAGAGGACACTCCGCCATCTTTATGTTCTCCTGATACTTGAATTTAAAAATTTCCTTTAAATTTTATTGAAAATGAATCAAAACATTTAAATATTTGAAATAGGCGCGTGCGCAGTCATTTTAAATTAAATTTAGAAGACACTCCGCCATCTTTATGTTCTCCTGATACTTGAAATTAAAAATTTCCTTTAAATTCGATTGGAAAACAATCAAAACAATGAATATTTGAAATAGGCGCATGCGCAGTCATTATAAATTCAATTTCGAGGACACTCCGCCATCTTTATGTTCTCCTGATACTTAAAATTAAATATTTCTTTTAAATTTTATTGAAAATGAATCAAAACATTTAAATATTTGAAATAGGCGCATGCGCAGTCATTTCAAATTGAATTTAGAAGACACTCCGCCATCTTTATGTTCTCCTGATACTTAAAATTAAATATTTATTTTAAATTTTATTGAAAATGAATCAAAACATTTAAATATTTGAAATACGCGCATGCGCAGTCATTTTAAATGAAATTTAGAGGACACTCCGCCATCTTTATGTTCTCCTGATAATTGAAATTAAATATTTCCTTTAAATTTTATTGAAAATGAATCAAAACATTTAAATATTTGAAATACGCGCATGCGCAGTCATTTTAAATTGAATTTAGAGGACACTCCGCCATCTTTATGTTCTCCTGATACTTGAATTTAAAAATTTCCTTTAAATTTTATTGAAAATGAATCAAAACATTTAAATATTTGAAATAGGCGCGTGCGCAGTCATTTTAAATTAAATTTAGAAGACACTCCGCCATCTTTATGTTCTCCTGATACTTGAATTTAAAAATTTCCTTTAAATTCCATGGGAAATGAATCAAAACATTTAAATATTTGAAATAGGCGCATGCGCAGTCATTATAAATTCAATTTCGAGGACACTCCGCCATCTTTATGTTCTCCTGATACTTGAATTTAAAAATTTCCTTTAAATTCCATTGGAAATGAATCAAAACATTTAAATATTTGAAATAGGCGCATGCGCAGTCATTTTAAATTGAATTTAGAAGACACTCCGCCATCTTTATGTTCTCCTGATACTTGAATTTAAAAATTTCCTTTAAATTGCATTGGAAATGAATCAAAACATTTAAATATTTGAAATAGGCGCATGCGCAGTCATTATAAATTCAATTTCGAGGACACTCCGCCATCTTTATGTTCTCCTGATACTTGAATTTAAAAATTTCCTTTAAATTCCATGGGAAATGAATCAAAACATTTAAATATTTGAAATAGGCGCATGCGCAGTCATTTTAAATTGAATTTAGAGGACACTCCGCCATCTTTATGTTCTCCTGATACTTGAATTTAAAAATTTCCTTTAAATTGCATTGGAAATGAATCAAAACATTTAAATATTTGAAATAGGCGCATGCGCAGTCATTATAAATTCAATTTCGAGGACACTCCGCCATCTTTATGTTCTCCTGATACTTGAATTTAAAAATTTCCTTTAAATTCCATGGGAAATGAATCAAAACATTTAAATATTTGAAATAGGCGCATGCGCACTCATTTTAAATTGAATTTAGAGGACACTCCGCCATCTTTATGTTCTCCTGATACTTGAATTTAAAAATTTCCTTTAAATTTTATTGAAAATGAATCAAAACATTTAAATATTTGAAATAGGCGCGTGCGCAGTCATTTTAAATTAAATTTAGAAGACACTCCGCCATCTTTATGTTCTCCTGATACTTGAAATTAAAAATTTCCTTTAAATTCGATTGGAAAACAATCAAAACAATGAATATTTGAAATAGGCGCATGCGCAGTCATTATAAATTCAATTTCGAGGACACTCCGCCATCTTTATGTTCTCCTGATACTTAAAATTAAATATTTCTTTTAAATTTTATTGAAAATGAATCAAAACATTTAAATATTTGAAATAGGCGCATGCGCAGTCATTTCAAATTGAATTTAGAAGACACTCCGCCATCTTTATGTTCTCCTGATACTTAAAATTAAATATTTATTTTAAATTTTATTGAAAATGAATCAAAACATTTAAATATTTGAAATACGCGCATGCGCAGTCATTTTAAATGAAATTTAGAGGACACTCCGCCATCTTTATGTTCTCCTGATACTTAAAATTAAAAATTTCCTTTAAATTCCATGGGAAATGAATCAAAACATTTAAATATTTGAAATACGCGCATGCGCAGTCATTTTAAATGAAATTTAGAGGACACTCCGCCATCTTTATGTTCTCCTGATACTTGAATTTAAAAATTTCCTTTAAATTCCTTTGGAAATGAATTAAAACATTTAAATATTTGAAATAGGCGCATGCGCAGTCATTTTAAATTGAATTTAGAAGACACTCCGCCATCTTTATGTTCTCCTGATACTTAAAATTAAATATTTCTTTTAAATTTTATTGAAAATGAATCAAAACATTTAAATATTTGAAATACGCGCATGCGCAGTCATTTTAAATTGAATTTAGAGGACACTCCGCCATCTTTATGTTCTCCTGATACTTAAAATTAAAAATTTCCTTTAAATTCCATTGGAAAAGAATCCAAACATTTAAATATTTGAAATAGGCGCATGCGCAGTCATTTTAAATTAAATTTAGAGGACACTCCGCCATCTTTATGTTCTCCTATTACTTGAAATTAAATATTTCTTTTAAATTTCATTGAAAAACTTTCAAATCAATGAATGTTTTGAATAAGCGTATGTGTAGTTATTTATATGCTCTATTTTTAGGGAAGGGTTAATTAATAAATAAATAAAATAAACGAAAAATTTAAAAAGAGTACAAAAAATACAACACAGGTGCTTTTAATAATTTTAAAAAAATTTTGTATAATGTTTTTTATTATTATTATTATATGGTTTAACATGTTTATTTGCTTTTTCATAATATTTGAAATTATAAAATTGTTAGGAATAGAAAGAGAATACAAATTCTATACAAATATTATAATTTTATGTATTTTTTGAGTAGCATGAAAAGTAGCTTATATATTTTCTCGAAGATGTGTAGTGCAAATGTGAATTCTGTTTGTCTTGAAGCAATCCATTATCATAATCAGTTCCGCCTTTCC